TTGTTACTGCTAGAATGGTAGTGTATTATATATACTACATCATATCCTTGTTTCCTCGAACAGTTAGTGCTTCTTGGGTACTTCTTGGGCAGGGCTTAGATACAAGACAGCAGCCCCGGCCTTCAAAATGCAATATAGAGAGTTTATACAAAAGCAAGGGGGTTAATGTCCTTGACACGTTTTCACAGAAATCCTACACCAACTTCCCCACAGTTCAGCAGAGGTACAATACAAATGTTCCTTAAAGAAGAAAGCAAAGTCTCCAATTTCACATGAAAAGGTTGTTTATGTACGTACATACCCATGATGAATAACATACTAACTAGTACATCTCCAGTTTTAGTTATCATCATACGAGATATGGAAACTGGTAACACATCCAGATGCTTGCGGGTCTTCTGCTCCGCAGCAATCGTAAAACTTGGCAGCATAAGGAGGATCATCAGCTCCCAACTCGTAGTACCTTAACAGGATAAAAAGCAGTGGTTACCAACCAACCAACACACAAACTTGTAAAGCAGCTTTGAGCACAGAAAACCAACATACAAGGTGAGGCACCCCACAATAAAATACACAAGTGGGGTGGGGGAGCATCTTTCTCAAGACCAACCAACTCCACAAATAAAACTATAAAATTCAGTAGAGAACCACAGTCCTCGGGAAATATATGAATCTCATTCGTTGTGCAATCTTAACACTATAGGAAGGAAAGATCTTGTTATGGAGAGTCGACACCCACAGCCTTTGCAAGTGAAATGACCACCAACCAGTTTAGTAACCTGACTGGCTAGTCATAGCCTTTGAATAATAAATAAATGATACCGTTGATGTAATCACCGGCGGCAAGTCAGCATTGATGATAAATGTGCATCCTGTCAGAATTCTTAAGCCGCTGGAAGCGATAGGACCTCCCTCCCACCATACATATATATATATACATGAGAATATAACAACCGGCATATGCGCAAGGAAGAACATTTAAGAGCTACAGCTAGTTAAATAAGAAACGACGTCCCAATTTCAATTCATACATCATACTTGCTACTACTAGTAGTTTTTGGAAATGCAAAATGAGAAAGTAAAAGAAAAAAAAAAGCCGGTAAAAAAATGGAGGGAGGAATGAGGGAGAAGATAGAAACAGGACGTACCTTTTCTGATCGTCGTGACGACGACACACGAAGAAAGAAGGATGATATCGACATGAATTAGGGTTATTGGATTTTGGAGAGTAGCTGTGTCTGCACCGCTTGCAAGTCTTGCAATCCACCCCTACATCCTCCTCCTCCTCCTCCTCCTCCTCCTTGGTTTGCTTTTCTTCTTCGCCTTCTTTTGCTTTCTTATCCATTTCCCAGTCGATCGATCTGAGTCCTGCCTTTCGTTGATCGATTAATTAAAACTCTACGGCCTATCAATTGTATTTGTATCCGTCTCCCAGGCGTGGGTCTCTTCACTCTGTTGTTATTCTTCACCGTTGGTTGGGCCATAAAAAAAAAAACAAAAACCAAAAAAAAAGGCCGGGGGGGTGGGGACGGTCGTGTGGATTGGGAGGGAATGGGGCCGGGGTCCGGGGAGTGATTAAATTTATATCCTCTCTGCGTTGGCAACAATACCCGTAGCTTTTGAATTTCTTTCGTGGTGCTTATCATTTCAACAAACATATATGCATGGAGCGAAGAAAAAAACAAATATTTGCATGTAAAGGTGAATAATTTTGAACATTTTTACAGGTGCTTAAGAATGTCCACTGTTTGATTTAGCAATCCAGAATTTCAATTACAAATAAGTATGTAAATAAAAAATGTACATTGAAACGCAAATGCCAATATTTGTTCATTTTTAAATTATTTCCAATTTTCAGTAGACAAATTTTTTAATTTATTTTATTCAAAATTAAAAAAAATCAATATGAGAAGTTAATTAAGGAAGAAGTCCATGATCCAACCATCCTAATGTTCACTTAATAAATAATACAAAAAAAAAGTAGAAAAGAAACAAATGATGGTTTGTTTACTTGATTTACTTGTGATAGTCTAAGTAATAAAGAAGTTGAAAACTACTAATAGTTGACAATCTTTCTTGTGAAATCAACACCTAATGTCCCCTATAATCAGTAAACGATTTGTATACTTACAAAAAATGAGCCGTTTAGGTTTTTAAAGTTTGGTTTGAAGTGAAAGCCTCGTCAAAGTTCATGCAACATTTCTATTGACAATTATTGATTTTCCAGTGTATGGCTATTAGTCTAGCTAGAGCACAAAAGAATACAAAGCATGTCCTATCTACTTAGATGAGGCTAATAGTTTATATTTGAAAAATCATCACAAATGTTGTTATATGAGGTATCGTCGTTTTTTGCCTGGTGATTATAAATGGCATCATAAAAAAATAGCTATTTAACGGAGAAAGAGAATTTAGATAGCCTCTTAGGACTTTATCCGATGAAGAAATCCTCCTGATTTAACATTGTCATATTAACCAACATGCATTTGGGAAGGCTCCTGATTTTCTCCAAAGGAAGAAAAGAAAATGAACTTCCATATTTTTCGAACTTCCATATTGGAGCACTAACCAAATAAGACAACCTTGGTATTATGCATACTGTGAAGAACGTGTGCGAAACTTATGATTGGTACATTATCGAGTACCCCTTCAAAAATTAGGGATACTTGACAAGTTTGGGAGGATTTGAAAGAGATGGGATTGAAGGAAGAATTACGTCTACAACCAAGGAGGGAGGGGTACATCAAAAGTTATGCCACCTGCATGCTACACTTTATCACTTGTAAGGAAAAAACGTTTTCGCCAATTTTGCATCAAACATACCTCAGTGCAAAAGAAAAAATAATATGGTGGATTCTTATTTTTATTTTTAGTGTTTCATACTTTTAGTTGGGAACGAGCAATTGAGCAAGTTAAAGACGTACGGGATATGTTCATATAATGGGACAAATTGAGAAATCTCCGCTGAGGTTTTTAACACTTTCATTGACCTCTCTCGAGATTTTAGAAATTCTACTAATTAAAGAGATCAATCCAAGTAACAAATATACTATTAAAAAAATGTATGTTAAGGCGTGAGAAGGTAGTTTTATTTCATATGTGTTCTTTTTTAATTGTTTACAAGTTGTATCAATGAAGAATAAAACAAGGATAATTTCAAAAACCTCCCTTAAGATTTCTGACTATTTCACTGGTCTTCCTTTGAGTTTTAAAAATTATACTAACTTCTTTTGAGATTTATTATCTTGTAACATTTAGATCCAATTAATAATTCAAAAGTAATATTAGGAGAGAAAAATAATATGATTTCACCATTGCCCCATCATCTACTAAATTGTTTAATTAATCTAATACATGTCCAAACATTAAAGAAAACACTAGAATTTGCTGTTTATCAATAGGGATTAAATCACATATGACATCAAAAATTGTATATCATTCTATATATTTTATTTAATGTAGATCTAAATTGTTCTTTTCAATTACATATTCATTGTCAAACATGATTAACAACAAATACTCAAAAAAATCTATAATCAAAATACTACAAATAGTGAACTTTAATATCATAAAAATCTCAGCAACTAACCTTAATATGTTGCAATGTTTTTGAAACCTATCCCGCACCGTTCGATCAGACCGACTGAACTGTCGATCGGGCTGCTGGGCGGGTTAGGTTATGCCTTAAATCCAAAGGGATTAAAAAGTCACCCTCTCTTTTGTGCAAACCAGTTAGCCCCGATGGTCCAACCGCTCCGGCTAGTTCTTTGCCCTAAAAAATTTTAAATTTGCTCCATTAATCACATTTGATGACATTCCAGAAATAAACTTTACCAATTACCCATGCATAATTGTCTCCAATTAGTAAGGTATTAACAATTATTACCTTATTTCTACTCCTCATTCCCTTTCTCTCATTTAACTTGTGTTTAACATTTTATTGCATATAGTATATTAATTATGTTAATTCTTCAGTGCATTTCAATTGTTTGTCATTGCCTTCTATTTATTTTTATTCCTATCTTATAAACTACGTATCATATAATTTAGGAAAATTAAAAATGTAAAAAATTAAAGATGTAGATAATAATGTTATTCTATATTTCTTTTACCTTTTACTTATAAAAGTTATTCTTGAAATTCAAACAACTAATACATAAAAGATTAGAATAAGGATCGAAGTGATTATTTTTAACATTATTGTTGAAGTTTCTAATATTTATGATATATTTATGACGTTACAGGTTAATAACGGTTCACCTAGTGGTTTAATCAGTGATACTTAACGCAATCATTTTTTCGGACCAATGAACAGTCTGGGTTTCAAAACTCGATATGTTGACAGAAATATTTATGATGTTAAAGTTTGTTCTCTGTAATACTTTGGTTGCAAATTTTTTGATTATTTGTTGTTGATCACGTCTGACAATCGGTATATAATTGAAAAGAATAATTTGAATCTTGTATTAAGTGAAAATATAATGTGATATACTATTTTTTGATATTATATGTGATTTGATCTTTAATGATAAATAACAAATTTTAGTGTTTTTTTAAGGTGTGATTTGGTATTAAATTAATTAAATAGTGTAGCAGATGAGGGGCAATGATGAAATCATATAATCTTCTCTCTCCTAATATTATTTTTTAATTATCCATTGGATTTAAACGTTACAAGATAATTACCTCAGGGGAAGTTAGAATAATGTTTAAAACCTGGAGGGAGGCCAGTGAAATAGTCCAAAAACATCAGGGGAGGTTTCTGAAATTATCCCATAAAACAAATTGTAAAATTTAGGAGGTTATAAGCGAAGGAAAGGAGGAGGAGTAGGCGGCGGGCCGACGGCTTAGGAGGAGGAAGAAGGGTTAGGACCCAGCTTGTGTATATCGCTTTTGAAGATTAGAGTTAGATACACCAATATCATCCTATCTATAGTCTCTAGAGAGAGAGAGAGAGGATACACGTAATTGACCACCACCATCCTCCTCCGTCGTTGTTGTATACTTTGAGAGAGAGAGAGAGAAGGGGAAGCTAGGTAATTTTGGAGTGTTGGGGGGAGGAGGAGCTCCTTGGCTTGGCTCCGACGTGGTGGTCGTTCTCCCTCCCTCACTCCATCCTCTCTCTGTCTGTCTTTCTATAGTATAGTAGTCAAATATCGGAATCTCAGGATCAATCCTTCTCGAAACCTCCACCACTAGCCAGAAGCAAAGCAATCTATGTACTAGCAACTAAATAGTGGTAGTGAATAACTATACATTTTTTCTAGTGGAAAAAGATATGTCGTCGGTTTGTATCGTCCAACACCAACACCCCTTATCTATCATGAATTTCATGGCTGGGTCTCCTCCTCCACCAATTCCCCACTTGTCCAGGATCAAATCCTCCACCAATCCCCCTCTCTTTCCTCACCCCCTTCATTCTACCATCTCCACCTCTCCACTCACTCCTGCTCCTACTTTTTCTTTTCCCTTTTCCAGCTCTTCCTCCGCATCTTCTCTATTTTTCCCTTTCCCCGGCACCCCTACCTCTCCTCCTATTATTACTCCTCTTCCTTCTTCTTCTATGTCTACCTCCTTTTCAACTTCTTATTACTCTGACAATAATGGCTTTGCCTACCACCACCCTACTCCCACCACCACCAGGCTCTCCTCCTCCTCCTCCGACGATGGAAGTTCCGATGATTTTAGTCATACAACCACCCATTCCCAAACTGATTCCGACTCTGAAGATGATGATGATGACGATGACGACGACTCCCACGTTCCAATTCCTCAATGCCACCGCCGCCGCAGCTGCCACCACAATCTTCATGATTTCTCTCCTCATTCTCCTTCTTCTTTGCCCGACAGATGGGACGTCTTGGGTCTCGGCCAGGCCATGGTAACTTTCAACTCTTACTACTACCCCAATTCGCTTTCAATTACTGAACTACTGCTCTATTTATCTTCTGCCATCTCCAACAGCACTTGTTGCTCTGACTATCACACGTGCCCTTCCCCTATGTCTTTCTTCGTTGATTAGTTGTCAGTTGATGACACCCTTTTCCAATTCTCCTACTTCGTGCACCCTCCGTCCACTATTTGCCACTTTCACTGGAGCAAAACAATTTCGTCACCTTCTCTTTTCCTTTCCTTCTCTTTTCTTGTTTTGTTCGCAAAAGGAGAAATTCGTGGCGTGATCCTTTTTCTTCTTAGGTTGATTTTTCTGGCATGGTTGATGATGAATTCCTCGAGAGACTTGGACTGGAAAAGGGTACAAGGAAAGTTGTAAATCATGAGGAAAGGGGTAGAGTTTTACAGGCTATGGATGGATGCAGCTACAAGGCTGCAGCTGGTGGCTCTCTTTCCAATAGTCTGGTCGCCTTGGCCAGGCTTGGTGGTCTACCTGTTGGAGGCCCTTCCCTAAATGTAGCTATGGCAGGCAGTGTTGGAAGTGATCCGCTTGGTGGGTTTTACAGGTATATCATCCTTCATTGTCCTCACCCTTTTCTGTTAATTTTTCACCATACTTAAATATCCACGGGTTTTAATTATTGCTGAACTCTGTTAAATGAAAATTTCTAGCAATCTTTCCAAGAACATTGGAAATCCCTGGGCTCTTTCTCTCTCTCTCTCTCTCTCATTTTTTCACTTAAAAAGGTGCCTTTGTGGTGTATGTATTTCTGCAACACCAACATTTTTGTACTGCTTATTGTTTCTAATCTGGTTGCGTTGGATAGGTCAAAATTGAAACGAGCAAATGTGAGTTTCCTGTCGGCACCTGTTAATGAGGGAACTACTGGAACAGTTGTTGTTCTCACAACACCAGATGCCCAGCGTACAATGCTTGCTTATCAGGTACTTAATGGGTGCATAACCTTTTCAGGGAAGAAGTTTTTTGCATCAAGTTCAACCAGTGGTGGAGCTCCTTTTGTTTTGCTCACCATGAGTTCGTGTTTCACAAAAATTGATGCTTTTTGGAGTGGCCTAGTTCTTTTGCTTGAGATTTTGCATAAGCTGATTATAGAAAATAATCAGAATCAGCAAAAATCTTTGGTAGATTATGGATTTTGGCTTTTTTGGCTATTAAAAAATCTATAATCTAAGTGCAAAACCAAACCAAAACGTCAAAAAACTGATTATTGAAAATCTGAATCTATAATTAGCTAAAATAATCAATTGATAACAAGGCCAGTATTCTAGTGTTGGGTACTCGCATATCTGGTGATACTGAAGTTTTGGTTGCGTTGGTGGCCTTGTTATAAGATAGAATGTAGGCTCTGTTGCTCGATTAAAGTTAGCATGGTTGTATTTGAGGAATTGTGGTGGCAGCTAGGGGTGCAAATGAGCCGAGTCAAGCCGAACTTTGGCCTAGTCGAGCTGAGCCTCCAGTTAATTTTGTGAAGCTTGAACTCGAGCTCGAGCTCGACGAGCTCAAAATGTCAAGCTCGAGCTCGAGTTTAAAAAATAAAAAATAAAAATAATAAATTTATTTTTAAAAAAATAAAAAATAATTATTTATTTTTAAAAATGAATAAAATAATAATTTTTAATAAATAATAAAATATTAGGGATATATGTGTAATTTTACTATTAAAATAAAAAATAAAAAATATATATATAATTGAGCTCGCGAGCCGCTCGCGAGCCAACGAGCTTAATGTTTTTGAGCTCGAGCTCGATATTGACCTAGCTCGAGTCAAGCTCGTACTCGAGCCGCGAGCCGAACACCCCTAGTGGCAGCTTCCTGCGATCCTAACAGTGCTACGCGAGCGGCTCGATTCGTGAACACCCTTAGTGGCAGCTTCCTGCGATCCTAACAGTGCTACGGTCATGGCAGCTATGACTGATCAAAGAAAGTTTAATGCTTAGAAACTTCATTTACGTACTTTTTGACGTTTGTATTTTAGGTTTAACCAATTTCAAATTACATTAAATTGTTTTAGATGCTATTGTAGTCCCTACTGGAGAGTAGATAATGAGGTGACGGATTTGCTTCAAGGAAAAGCGCTTGATAAACTTGATGATTAGTTTTATGTAGTTATGATGATAATGACGAAAGGATGTAGCTTATCGATAACAGCTGGAGTTGGCGGCGCTGAAATGGTTTTATGGATATATATAGTACAAACAGCATTCTTTCCCATTTTTTTTTTTTTAAATATAGTTTGACATTTTGAATAACTAATTTCCACTGTGATGTTGTTGTGCATAATCTCACTGTCTACATGATGACTGGAGGCATTATCTCTCTGTCAACCACAACTTAGGCCCTATTCATTTGCAGATACGTTCTGCAGCAAATTTTTGTTTCTGGCTGTGAGTATAAAGCAGCATGCATCTTTTGATTAAATGGAGTGACCCTGTTGTTTTGGGTGGAATGATATTTGCACTGCCTTTATTCTCTCAAAAACCATTCTGCAGTTTTCAATGAAAATATATTGTATTTCGTGTTACGCACATTGTCAGGGTACTGCCCCTTTTTATTTTGCACATGTTCTTTTACTTAGACTCTCTTTGTTTGTGGTGACAGGGTACATCTTCCACCATTAGTTATGATTCCTCCTTGGCTAGCTCAATTTGCAAAACAGATGTGCTCATTGTTGAAGGATATCTATTTGAATTTCCTGATACAATCAAAACCATATCAAAAGCATGTGAGGTTGCCCGCAGCTTTGGTGCTTTAGTCGCTGTCACAGCATCAGATATTTCTTGCATTGAGAGACACTATGATGATTTTTGGTAAATATGGCATATGTTCTTCCCAGCCTCCTCCTCGTTTCTTATATGTCTTAGTATTGGAGTTTAGCATATAACAATTCTTTCAGAAGATTTGCTTTAGATTTTTGTACGGCTTCCCCTTCATACTCGAAGATCTATTTAATTAACTGTAGAGAAGCATTGAGCAGTACTAATTTACATAGGCCTCAAGTATTTGTCAGCTTGTTGTTCTTAAACTATTAGAGCTTGGAACCTGGTGCATTTAGGCGATGCTATGCAGCATACTCTGATCTTTCAAACCCAATTCCTAACGAGTAATTTGTGATTTGCTAATGAGGTGCTGTTTCTTTTTTTGGGGGGCGGGGGGGGGGGGGGGCGGCCCAGGGACATCATGGCTAACTATGCTGACATCGTTTTTGCGAATAGCGATGAAGCCAGAGCTTTCTGTCACTTTTCCTCGAAGGAAAGCCCCGTTTCGGCTACAAGGTACCTAAGCCACTTTGTGCCTCTAGTATCGGTGACGGATGGACCAAGAGGATCTTATATTGGGGTGAAAGGGGAAGCAGTGTATATTCCTGCTCCTCCTTGCATGCCGCCGGTGGATACTTGTGGTGCGGGGGATGCTTATGCTTCAGGTATATTGTATGGTATACTGCGGGGAGTTTCGGATTTGAAAGGTATGGGTGGCTTTGCCGCTAAGGTGGCATCTGTAGTTGTTGGGCAACAAGGAACTCGGCTTAGGGTGCAAGATGCTGTGAAACTGGCCAAGTCTTTTGCATTGTGTCGGGAGAGCTCCTCCGCCATTTGATTTAGGTCGTCTGATGGTCTCAAGTTTGTGATATTATTAATTACTAGGGCACATATTCATTGTAGTAATTTGTAAGAATAGATTTGATTAGACAAAATGGGGGAACAGCACCACCATGTATGTGGTTTTCTCAGCTTCTAGGCTCTAGCTATTGTAGATCCAGTCAAATTCGTTGCTGTAACTTGTAATCAGAATCACAAGTTTATTAGCTAGCTGAAGTTGATGCCGAATACTTGCGTGAGAGAAAATGAAGCTTGATTTTGAAGTTGCAATTGCGTAAAGATACAAACAACCCAATCCACGCTCGACGCAGCATTTCATTTCGACGACGTCAGAGAGCAGACGCTGACAAAAAATAGACTCTTTTGTTTTTTCATTTCTCTCAATTCTCCCGACCGACTTCCCAGATCCAACCAAAGGGGAATTAGGGATTTTATTTGGAGGGTTGGAATGGGAGCAGCAGACAGTCTGGAAGAAATGGGCATGGGCAACCATTACTCCCTCCATAATGATAATACTTCTACTTGCAGCGGCAGCGGCAGCAGCAGCACCCTAATTTTCACCTACGGAACTCTCAAGCACGGTTTCTCCAATCACACCCTCTTACAAGACATGATGGCCTCCGGAGATGCCGCCTTCCTGGGCCTCTGCCGGACCGCCAACCAACTCCCTCTCGTCTGCGGGCCCTACAGAGTTCCCTTCCTGCTCAATTTTCACGGCCGCGGCCACCCTGTCTCCGGCGAGCTCTACTCCGTCTCCCCAAGGGCATTGGCCCGCATGGACGACTTGGAGGGCGTCACTCGCGGTCACTACGACAGGCTGCCCATCAGGGTCGTCCTCATCCACGAGGAGGAGGAGGAAGAGGAAGAGGAGGATCATGACCCCCTTCCCATAGAGGCCGAGGCCTACTACGCACACTCAACCTATGCGGAGGCGCTCTGGAAGAGGAACGGGGAGAAGGGATACCACTGCTACTCCGAGAAAGAGGCCAAAGGATACGTCAAGCGCAAAGACAGGCCCCAGCATCTCTCTTTCTTGGACCAAATTCAACTTTTTCTGTCTTCTCCTTCCCCTCCTCCTCCTGATTTACATCCAATTGCTGCTGCTGGTGTTGCTACTACTGCCTCCAAATAACTCTAGTAGAGTCTCCGTCCCCACCACCAGGTAGGCTTATCTTATAGCTAGTTTGTGAGTTGAGGATAGAAAAGAAAAGAAGAGAAAGGATAAGTTATGTGAGAAAAGAAAGAATAAAAAAAAAATTTGTAAGCTTCCATCAGTTTTCCTTCGCTTTCCGCCCGTTTTGGTCAGAAAATTTTTGCACTGTAGCAGCGCTTGGCTTCTTTTCAAGATCCGTTCGTTTCTTTTCTTTTCCGTCTCACTAAACTCTTCCAAACGTGAAAAGTTCACCTTTCCCTTCCTTTCTTTTCTATTCCTTTGAAATCTGAACTCCCAGACTAGCTAGGACGGTGAGGGACGGGGTATGGTATAGAGGGGATGATGTTTCTTCATCCTGATTTGTAATTCCACCAACCTTTTGCGTGCAGCTCTGTTTTGTTTGTCGCCCGTTCTTTGGCTGCGCCTTTTTTTTTTTTTTCGCATTTCCTCTTTATAGCTAGTTTGTTTTTTTCTATAACTTAATCTAATATAAGGAGTGGGGAAGGGGGATTCGATATGAGAGACTTCATCGAAGAAAGTCAATTAATACCGTCACATGTTTTGACAAATTTTGGTGGAGGCCAAAGGCCCGGTGGCTCCCTCTTTATAGCTAGTTTGGGAGTTGAGATTACAATGGAATCGAAATGAAAGGTACATTTTCTTACGTTTGGACTTTCAGGTGAAACGGAAAAGAAAAGAAACAAACGGATTGTGAAGGATGCCAAGTGTTGCTACAGTGCAAATTTTTTACAAAACTTTTTTAAATTGTCCATTTTATCCTAACAAAACTATTGAATGAATTTTTATTGACAGATATGTTTAAAATCATTCTACTTTTTTCTAAAACTTCTAAACAATATTAAAATCTCTTCTTTTCTTTTCTAACTTGAACATCCAAACTAGCTATTAAGTGAATTTTAAGAATCGTAGAATTTTAAAGCATTGGGTCCATCAAGACAATAATGGCTTGTGGGTTAAAAGTTTATTGTTTTCCTTTTTTTTGTTCATGATATCTAATTCTAGATTTCCAACACATTGCGTTGTTGGACGATTTGTAACAACCTTATATGCAATTATGGTTTCGAAAAGCATGGTGTGATTTATAACAGTGATTGGAGTTGATTTCATCCAGATATTTTTCTTATTAAAAAAAAAATCTAATTTAAGATTTCCAAGGGGAGTTAGCGCCCAAAAGCCCTAATTAGAAAATAACAAAGAAACCAATAGTACAAAACACTCTAGCTCCCACTACTGTTGTTTCCCTTCTTTCAGTTCGAAGTGACGAAGATAGAAGGGGAACTTAAAGGAGGGTTTTGGGTTGTCAAAGGGGAAAGCAGTAAATTGCATCGTTCATACTATAAAAATCATAATGGTATCAACATCTGATAAAATAGAATGATTAGAAGGGTTACAACGGGTACTCAAGGTGATTCTTGCATCTGGGCATCCGTGTGACTGTTAATCCAGTCTTGAACGTCAGTTAGGGAGATTGAACAAAATATGTGCCGATTAATAGAAGTTGAGGTAAGTGGTGTATTATTTGTATATTTAGCTTTTTATACACTTTTCATGTACAATTTTTTTTTTTTTTCACTTGTAGGTTTACATCATGCCACATATAACTTGAATTCAAATTTGAAAAGCAAATCATGTATACATGACATACATTCATAATTGCTAATATGAAAAAAAAATAAAAATCACTGCTCTGTTAGAGCATATAGAATTAATCCATTAAATAGTAGGCTACAAATTTGCTTAAAAGTAATGCATTATTTTTGTTGTAAGATTTTATAGTCAACCTGAATTTGGAAGGTTTAAGAGTCCACCTCCCTGTTACATCCATGATTCTACCGCATTAAGACAATAATTTCTGAAAGATAGGTTTGATTAAACTTAATTCTTCAAACAATTAAGACTTCCAGGCATAAGCTAGTAGTGGTCCTAAATTATTTTCCATGATGATATTCATACTGAAACACAATGTATAGGTCCCCAAAGTTTGAGAGACGTTTGAGCAATTAAGAAGTTACCAGCAGCCAATACCAACTAATAACTCTACTGCGTACCAGCCATTTCCTTATTATGGAACGGATGAAAGAAATCTCAAACAGAGAAAAGATCTTGGGTGAAAAACAAAGTGAGCAATGACAATAGGCTCCTCAAGCGCACAGAGTAATACTTCTAGAAATAGGCTTTGATAGGAAGAGTCCAATAGTTTCAGAAACAAGTTGAACTGGATACGGAAACCACTTCATCACACAACAAAGGCTGGCCTTACATTGTCGCTTCTTCAGGATCAGCCTCAATTGGCACCGGAGGCATGCTATTGCCACCTCTCAGCCGAGAAGAGACATTGTCAATAGCAGAATTAAGTTGACTTATCTTTTCATTTAATGTCTGCCTCGTTTTCTGCATCTCAAGAAAAAGAATACACCGATGGAAGGGGAGGATCAGAGGATAGAATTAGCGTTGCATAGTGAGAATTCAATCCTCAATCTACTGCAAGGCAATAAGCAGGAGGGTGCTACTAGTAAGTACCTCTAAACCTTCGTCATAGTAAATTGGTCGCTTTGCCCTACGGAAACCGTACTCGTCTTCATTCAAAAGCGATCTTCTTATCTGATCATATGGATAAAGGGGGACAAAATGACTAAAAGCAGAAGCGAAAAACAGTGTGGCACAGCCAAACTCGCAGGCACAAACAGATAGAAGGAGAACCACCCCACAAGGTGATTGGTTGACCACTCCATAGAAATGCCGCTAGGACTTTGAACAAGGTTACATACAAGGTTCAAGCACCTCCTAACTTTCAAATAGACAGAGCTAGCTAAGCAGCAAAGTTCTTTGTTCTAGATGTTCAAGCATGAGCTCCAAGAGCTGGTAATGATGAAGCTAGGAGAAATCGTAACCTGCCTACCATTAATAACATCTCAATGCAAGATAGTTAAATGCATCTATAAGACAGTAGAGAAACTAAACAAATAGGAAATGGAGGATTGTTTTGTTTTTGGGATATTATACCAACAAAAGAAATTTTGAAGTTGCAATGACCATTAATACCAAGTAGAAAAGTACTACAATTTCAATCACTAACAAAGCATTCATTGGATATTTTGAACTTCTCTAGCATTTCCTTTTCCTGCTTTACCTTGACATGTATGTCTTAGCATGAAGAGGTTTGAAAAACAATGCCAGACATCACTTATAATCCCAAGTTAATCCCTAGGATGCTTTAGACCTACTTTGTATCTAGAAATTTGTGAAACATTACTTAAAAAATACATTTTTTCCCTCCTTATCAAGTTCCATTTGATCATGAAAAGCTAACAGTTGAAGATGCAAAATGTGACCTAAGGAATATAATCACTATTAGTAGTTGTAAAATTCTTTTGCAATGAATCAAGAGATTTGGGTATATTAATGGTAAATCAACAAGCCAAAGCATAACCATTCCTGTATTACTAAATATGCTCATGTCAATTTTCTCGTCAGCTTTTCGTTTTTCCCTTCCATGGATTGTTCTTCTCTTATCTTTAATCTGATCAAGCAGCTTCTTCAATCTTGCAGCCAAAATTCCACACAGTTTATACATTTGGAAAAGCAAATGAATGATTACTAGCATCTCCTATCAACTCTGAAGCTAGAAAGTTACCGGCTACATACTATTTCAGTTCTATATCTACCAAGGATTGTCCTCCTATCCACAAACCACCAACCTCTTACCAATAGGCAAGGCAAGGATGGGCAGATAATCTCAATTAATAAAAATTGTCCCAACTAGTATCAGAATTGTAATATGTAGCAGAGTATTTAATTCAAGGACAATACAATCTTCCAATTGTTGACCAAAGAGTTACCAAGCAAACTTAATTATCAAAAGTATAAGAACTCAAGAACTTTTGTGGACGATACAGAAATGAGTTGTCTTAATGGAAAAAGAAAATTTATCTCACCTGGGGAGCAAAAACATATGCAAGTGTCCCAAAAATTGCACCTCCTAAAAGGAAACCAGCCACAAAATCACCACCACCTCCACCCCTACGATCACTGCACTTTGCAATCAAAAGGAGATTATGGCCACGGGTAAAGAGTGATGTTGGGAAAAGCAAAACCCAGCAGACAACTACAGGAAATGCAATGTGGATATAAAGACAGTAGTTAAAATAAAGCTCTCTTTGGAAGAATTTAGTCATCCAAGGACTAATTAACTATATGCATCTTGGCAAGAGACAAAGATAGATGTTTCATGGCTTCTCAGTTTTCCACATTATCCCACTATCTGTACTAGAGACAGAATCCCATTTTAAACTTAAAGTTGTGCTGAGCTGAATGTTTGACATGTGAGAATGTGTAGAACTAATATTACGAGGCCAAGAGGAATAGCTATAAAATTTTGGAAAATGATAAATGAGAATGCATCGAAAGTGGAAATGCACACACAGCTGGTGCATAACAAAATTTCCGTTCACAGGACACATATAAAAGTAAGACAAACCGGAGAACATTGCAAAAGTGCTTAAAAGCCTCTAAGAAAAAATTAGAGAGCTTGTATCTGGTAGAATACACAATGTTAAGCTCAACAGCAAAGAAACTGAAGAGCTTCTCATCTGAAAAATCTGTTATAGAACCACTGAATGACAGATATAACAAAGTCTCTGAGCTGTAGCAGAACATGCTTAAAGTTGCACCAGATTATTCATACAAGAGCTTAAAGACCACTGTGCTAGACTAATGCCAATATTCATACCTAGACAATACAAGAATACAGGTGGTATGCATTTATGACGCAGCACACATGTAATGAGAAGGTCACTCATTCATGCACTTGTTTGCTAAGGCCGTCAAACTAGCATGGTGGAATTCAAAAGCATTGTCAAGACAAACTTCTGGTAACGCAAATAAGAGAAGCCCAAACAATACTTACATATACAAAACAATGACAAACTTAACTTTCAAACATTGGGTGGAGAATTGAAGACTGTCCTACCGGTCTCACACTGAAAGACTGTCAAATTCAGTGTTATGTTTACCAAATAATACAAGAACAAGTTTTGGATTTTATAGTATTTATCTAGTTCCAAAGGACATTTTGGTGCATCAACTAAAAAGCAAAATATCAGAGAGAGAGAGAGAGAGAGGGAGAGTTGTCCTGGTAGCCAGTAAAAGATGAGGTAGTAGATAATGGAACCATATTTAGTTGTGGAGACAAGAATGAGCATACTTGTAGGTTGCATGAACAGTCCAATTGCGAGGAAGTCTCCGACGGCTGAAGTTCTTTTGGACTGTCAGAGTTGGTGTCTTGACCAAGGAAGAGGAGTTTGGGGACCAAAGTTGGTAGCCCTTGAGATGGTTTCCACCTGCAGCAGAATCAAGACTGTAAATGAGACAAGTTTTTGTAGTATGAAACAAGATCAAACCAGCTCTATTTTGAGTCCTGAGTTTTTTTCCCCTAATATCTGATGCTATTGCAAAGTTGCAATCTTGCATGGTATGGGGTTTTGGTTCCGCTTATTGCATAATGTGAATGGCTAATCTGTCAAATGGAGGTAAGGATTGATGCATATTTTTCTTCAAACAAAAAGCGAACAAAAAAGGGACAAGTCGGCTACATGCTTAGAGACTTCAAAGGGGCGGATCAGAAGTTCCAAATTGTTTGCAAATTTGTAAAACACTTGTTTTAAAACCTTTTGTCTATATTTCTCTTCAATTCCCAAACTAAAGAAATTAGTTTCTTTTCTTTCCTTTCCAAAACTCCCAAACAATATGGAAAGAAAATGATGCCTTTTGCTTTTCTAGCCTAAACTCCCAAACTATGCCTTGGGGGAAAAAAAGAAAACAAACAAAATAAGAGCTTCTGGCAGAAAACTAGAAATATGACGACGAAATCAAAACATTGTGGAAACCCTAGAAATTGTATGGCTGCGGAAACAGGAAAATATAATCAACTGCCATGCGGAGGAGTGTGTGTCTCAATAGTAATGATGCTATTATCAACTGCAAAATTCGCGCTCGGCAAAGTTTTATTAAGGCAGTATCAAATCCACGAAATCAGCACCGGCTCGTAAGAAGAAATGGAAACAGATAAAAATGCACGAATAGTAA